GTCTTTTGAGGGTTATTTATTTTACAGGATATTTAACCCTTTCTAGCCATGTGTCACATCAAGATATATTTTTTTTGGTGCTCATAGCTTTATTTTAACCTAACTTGAATTAACATATTTTATTGTCAGACAGTGCCCATTGATCCAGGAATTTCAGATGAAGAAGAAGAATTTTATTTACAAATCACCTCCCTCAGAAGTGCTCAGAGTGCTAAGCAACAATTTCTGATTCATTAATTAAACATCCTGACCTCAACAAAATTGCAGGAAAAGTGGGTTAACAAATAAAATAATAAAAGAGAAACAGCAGAAGTAATTTAAAAAACACCGTGGGGAAAAAGTATGTTTTTAAGGGTATTTTTTAAGTGGGAAGAGTTAAATGAACCAAATTTCAGGAGGGAACAAATTCCACACCATTAGGCCCACCACAGAAAAAGCTTGATCACCTCCCAACTTCAGGCACAATGACAGAACCCCTAAACACCAGATGGCATGTGAACGCACGAGGAGGAGGTCTTGAATATAACTACAGCCAGCCCCATTCAGAGCTTTATAGACGAGTAACACTAATTTAAACTGAACTTGTCCCTTGACAGGCAGCCAACATAAAGAATGCAGTACAGGCTGAATATGATCACAATAGCTCAATCCCATGAACAATTGTGTTGCTGCATTATAGCAAGCAACGGATCAGCCTCATCAATAACCCAGCAAAGAGGGAATTAAATAATCAAGCCTCAAGATCACAAGGACAGGAATTGCCATTGCTAGGTTGGCGCGAGATAAATAAGGACACAACCTACGCAAATTGCATAGCTGTAAACCACATTTCCAAACCACGTCTGGCTTTCCATGGACACAGCATGGTCAAAAATAATGCCAAAGTTTTTAACCTGACTCACAATCTCTGAATGAGGCCCTCAAATCAAAAGAGACACAGAGGAGGAGCCACTCATCTCTGTCTTCTAAGGGTTGAGGGCAAGATAGCTCTGATGCATCCAACTAATCATAGAATCTCAGGGTTGGAAGGGACCTCATGAGGTCATCTAGTCCAACCCCCTACTCAAAGCAGGACCAATCCCCAATTTTTGCCCCAGATCCCTAAATAGCCCCCTCAAGGATTGAACTCACAACGCTGGGTTTAGCAGGCCAATGCTCAAACCACTGAGCTATCCTTCCCCCAAGCATTCCTCATTCAATGAGGAAGCATTCCTTCATTCAAGCATTCCTCCATACCTGAGATTAAACTCGCAGAGTCCATGATACAAGATCTATATAATGAAGCATTATCTGCATACTGATAGTGCTCTACCTCATGCTTCACCATGATCTCCCAAGTAGCTGCATACACACAGTAAAAAACATTGGTGACAAAAGCAACCCCTGAGGAAAGTCCTATTTCAAATCCAAACTTGTCCCACACATCTCTGTCCCCTATCCGGCTTCCTCAGCCAGGTGCTCTCAAACCAGACCTACAGGACAATTAATGCACACAGGGCTTTGGAGTGGAGCCTGTGGAGCAGCTCCAGAGCAGTGGAGCTGCAGGTTTTTGCCTGGAGCTGGAGTGGAGCCAGAGCACAGCTTCAGAGCCCTGAATGCGTATGCATATAAGAGAGGGAGCTGGCTACAGGATAAACTTAATTCACTCCTTGATACAGAGACTCACACATTCACTCTCTCAGCTCAGGTTTAATTCTGATAGTTTTGCCATTGACTTTATTGGGAGCAGAATTGAGCCCCAAGTGAGGAAGAAACTGCAACTCAGAGTCAAATTTTGGTTATTCTTGGTTCTGTATATTCAACTTTAAAATAACTGTTGAACAAAAGGAATTCTTTAAAAGCCATTGATTTTCTTCCCCATTAATATCCATGGAATTTGAATTTATTTCATCTTGATTTTGACTATTTCCTGCTTATTAATAGCAAAATGAAAGGGCACCATGAAATAAGATTTATCTTTTATTTGTTTTTGTAAAATATTATTATTTATTAAAAAACATTTTCTATTGTAGTTAATTAATGAGTTAATTCTCATGTTCTGAAAAATCCCTGATGTTTCTCTGAATTCATGTAATACAAAGAGAAGAACAATATCTATTACTTATTCTCTCCCATCATACATTAATTATGCAGATTAGCACAAGCCATTTTCAGCTCTATATTTTCACCAACAGGTGGAGCTAAGAATTCTGAATTTATTACAATATCAGTTAGAAAGTTATATTGTCAAGCAAGTTAAAAAAGCTTTTTAACTGAAAACTTTTAAGGGAAAGATATTTCACAGGTTAGCTGCAAAAATGTCATGTAGAGGAGGGAATTTATGATAAGATCAAACGAGGATGTGCTGAATCTGAAGTAAATTGAAATCCAGTGCTTAGACATCTCTGTGATAGGCACTTTAGAAATATCATAGATTAGATGGATAGCATATGCTAAGAGAATTTTTTCCTTTATTAACTAAGGGCTTGCCTACACTACCCGCCAGATCTGCGGGCAGCAATCGATCCAGCGGGGTTAGATTTATCGCTTCTAGTATAGACATGATAAATCGACCACTGAGCGCTCTCCCGTTGACTCTGGTACTCCACCAGAATGAGAAGTGCAAGCAGAGTCGATGGGAGAGCATCGCGGTAAGTATATCGACTTCAGCTACACTAATAACGTAGCTGAAGTTGCGTATCTTAGATTGACCCCGCACGGTACTGTAGACAAGTCCTGAGTCTTAATGACATTTCCTTGATACTATCCCAGAAGTGACAGTTAATTTAACACAACACTGTAAGTACAAAATAAGATCTAAACAAGAATGAAAGACAGATTCCAGAAGTCTACAATTCTTACACATAAGGTAAGTTGATAAAGATTCTGTAAGTTTTTGTATACACATAAGGTTCTGTTCCAGAGTACAAATTGTGTTAAGACTAGAGAAATGGTAAAACTCTAGGGCTAAATTCTGCTCTGAGATATGCCGATGCAACTCCCATTGACTTCTTATAATGTTACTAGACAACTTCCAAAGCACTGACAGAAAACTTCAGTATAAGGTACTTCAAATTTGATACTCCATTAGTCTCTAGTCTGCTTAAAAATTAACGTACCCTCTGTTTAGGTATCAAATGAAGATGTATATACCAAAAAAACATTAAATTCTAGTGACATTTCATATATAAAAAAACAGCAGCCGTTTACTTGCTAAGATTCTGTGTTCTGCATGCTTTATAAATGAAGTAAAATAATGTTTGAGAAAGAAAGCATGAATAACTACACTTACTGTATTTCATGTGTCAAAGTACTATCTCACCACTTATGGAGCCCAGAGGAGCAAATTACTGATATTCCTCCCTGGGGGAAACCAGCCATCAGATTTATACTTTCTTGTTCACAGAAAATGGATCTTTGGCAAGGGGTGGAGGGTTTTGTGGTTTTAGCAAGTAATGAGATTTAGCTAGCAGTGCTGAAAAAAATATAGCGAGCCAAATCCTCAGCCTGAGCAACTAAGCGTAGCTCCATTGATGTTCAATTGCTGTCAATGGAGCTATTACACCAGCTGAGGATCTAGAAAGCAAGACAAAGTGGAAAATCACAATTGGCCATACTTCAGAATCACTGTCACATACCAGCTATACTTTTTTAGTGGATATTGGATTCATAGGCAACAAGACTGAGTAAAGTGTGTTCCATAATTTTAAAATCCTATACAATTGTCAGGGCAAAGACTAAGGGCCCAAACTGCAATCTTTATTCATGCAGGTAGGCCTTATTCTCATGAGAGTTATCCCATTTACTTCAATGGGGCAACTTGCATAAGTAAGGGTTGAAGGATCAGGCCCTGAGAAAGTAGTCTCCTCCTCCACCATCACATTCTTGAAAATCCAACTATTTGAACTTCTCCAGAGAGGTGAGAGCAACATAAATCCAGGCTCCCTCTGCTCAGGAACTAAGCCAACATTTAAAGAATTTTAATCTATTTTATGTATATTATCAGTTGGCTTCTAGCTGGATCAATTGGCTTAATGATAACAGAACCATATCAGGAGGAACAAACAACCTCTACGTTGGTCGAGTTTCATTCACTAAGGTCCTGGAAGAGCTGGACAGCTGCACTAAGATAGATCCACACCACTGGTGCCTGAAAAGCGAAGGTGGGAATGCATGCACACTCTGGGACCATTTTTGGTTAAAAAAAAAAAAAAAAGTAACACCTGCTGACAGGACAGGCTGCCAGCTTCCTTCAAATGAGCAGCTGTCAAACCTCTGTTCAGAGAATCATCTCTTGATCTGGGCAGTCTTGCCACTTACCATGCTCCCTCTAGCTTTCAATTTTGGGGGAATGTGATTGAGAAGGCTAACACACTCTGGGGTTATCTAGAAACAATCCGTCTTTCAGGCTGGGCATGGCTGAGAGATTGCACTGGTTTCAACAGTGAATATCTCCTTCTGGGGGTGGAGAGTTGGTAATACATGCAGTCAGGAGCTTTCAATACTGTTGACCTATGAACAATATCCTAGCAGTGTAAACAGAATCTTGCTTCAGCTGTTCTTTCTTTTCTGAGAATATGAATATGAATAATTGCCCAACACACCTGAGAAGGTATGTTGGGCAATTATTCATACACCCAAGAGTCCTCTGATGCAGGGTGTGCCAGGGCTCTATTATGTCACTCTCTCATTCACTGTATAGTACAGAGGGATAGCTAAGGAATATAGAGTTGGTTTGGACTGACATGTTGATGATGTTCAGTCCTGGGAATAATTTCTCTGCTTTTTCAGGGTTTGTCTGAGACAAGGTCTCAGATGAAAGTGAGCCAGCTGAGGTTTCTTCCAAACATAACAGAGGTGATGTTGGGAGCTAGTTGGAAACATCTACAGTTCCAGATGGAATATATACCATCTTTCAAAAAAGTTTAGTCTGAACCCTGGGCTGTTCATATACTCTTAGGTTGGAACTGTGGACAGCAGCACCTTTTCCCATCTGCTTTTTGTCAGGTTTCAACCATTTCTTTCTGATGCAGAGGTCAGCACAACTATCCATGAGTTTTTAACCTCCATATTGGATTAATTCAACATGAGGCTGCCTCCGAAAGCCACTCCAGAACTTCAGTTAGCGCAGAGTGGGGTAGATTGATTTCTAGTGGTGCTAGATGTTCACCTGTGCAGTTCCTCATGGCTCAGTTCTCAGTTGTCTTCCTTATCTTTTTTAATCACCTACATTAAGTTTGAGGAAATTTTCCAGAGGTCAACAGGACATATCTCTCTTTTTCCTCAGATGCAAGCAGCACCATCTTCCAGCTATCCCTCCGCTTAATGAAAGACAGGTGGCTGAAGACGAACCTAGAGAAGACAGCGGTGATGTCTGTAGGAAGAGGGAAACATTTTGAAAATATAGCAACCACCATCGCATCATCCTCCATCAAAGTTGTCTGCTCTGAGACTGTCAAGTTAGTCATCAACCTTGCGGTCCCCCATGCATTCATCACTGGTGTGGGATGCTCAGATAGCAATGGCCTTAGATAACCAGCTAAGAGACTTGCCACATCTTATCAGACAGACCTGGTGATAATGATCCATGCACCTTTGTGATCTCCTGGCTTGTTTACTGCAACCCACTGTATGTAGGAATGAGCATTCCAAAATTTAAAAAAATACTTCAGTGAGTCCTGGGTTTGACAAGACACAAGAGGAAAGAAGAGAGAGGATCTTAAAGGTGTCAGATATACAGTAGTATTTTTGCTGATGTTCTCAGGATACAAAGGCAGCTGGTCAGTCACAGACAGATGCTCTGGCCTGACAGGTCAGCTACAACAGCTGCTGCTCTGGACCCTGGTCTGGGATGTCATCTGGTTGGGCTTTGTCAGGTCACTCTCTTTTACTGGTCTTTCTCTGACTGGGCAGAACTGAAATGGCCAACCCATCCCATTGTGCTTGTGCTGCATGATTAAATTGGTCTCAGGATCAAGTGAAAACAAAGCTGAGTCTCTGAGTACGATGAATGTTCTCCGAATAGGGGTGGTGATGGAGTAGCAAAACTATTCTACTGACACAGAATTATAATGCAATTTAATTTCCCTCTTTACATTTACTGAAGAGAAATTTTCTAACTTGTCTTCTACACTCAAATTTCTCTTCTGTGTAGATTCACTCATATTCCCTACTGGAGTGCTGGTAACCGAAGTATTTCTTGAGCTTTGCAAGTATTATGAACTGACAATACAGTTTGTTGCAATTATATGAATGGGGAAAAAAGAGCCACGAGTCATCTGAAGTTTGGGCATAGTGAGGTTTTGTTTTATTTCACTGTTGTTCTGCTGCTAATATGGTATTAGATCTTAAACATGATTCTCTTTACTCACATACAGTTAACAATTTTCGGTAGTTTCAACATGCCATGTAGATGACATTGTACAGAATTATCAAGAGAGCTATGTTTGTATTTAAAATAAGAGAACCAGAATTAAATAAGCGAAGCAACTAATCCCAGTAAGGGTGTGATATTTGAAAGTCATTACATTATCTTCAGCTCTGCATTAAGTTTCTTTGTATTGCACTATGAATGATATTGTTTTTCACTTTGAGATCAGATTAAAAGAACTACATACATGCTAGTTATGATTTACTGAAGCCAATTAAAATATTAATCTGCAATTCTATAAAGCAAATACTATGCAGATATACTTTCTATAAAATTATTTGAAACAAAAATGGAAAACTGAAAAATTACAGCTGGGATTTTCAAAGGTGCCTTAAGGAGGTAGGCACCCATTTCCTACTGAAATTCCCTATTTGACTATGGTACGTTTAGATGGCCTGTCACCACTGTATCACGGTCCTTCCATGGAGAGACCATTCCATGCTGCTAAGTAGAATTGAGATTTGTTTTTGCCTTTACTTTTAAACTGCAGTAATTATTCTAACTCATAGTGACATTTGGAAAGTTGTGCACAGCTTTAGGTATATGTTGCAGCAGGCTAACTAGACTATTAAACTGTATTTACTGCTAATTTAATTGACTATATGTGTACTGTAGGTGATTTGCACTACAGAGAAATAATTTCATTTCAACCTAAGCCATTTATGTCATGTTATTTCTGATCCCAATTCATTTGAAGTCACTATAAAATCAAGAGAGCATTAGATACACAATGCTTGTTGGGTTACTGATAAGCACAGCGTTGGGATATTGAAGCCATCTTAATAATAGCTCTGTGTCTAGCTCCACAGTATGAGGTATGTAAAAAATTAGGTAAAAAGACCAAGAAGCAAAGTTAACTATTATAACAGCAAATAATTGGGTAAGAATGAAAGGACAAAGGTTGTGATTTCCATGTGGGGTCTTTAAAAGAGGAAAAAAGCTCTAAGAAGAAATACAAAGGGTGAAATTCTGGCCCCATTGAAGTCAGTGGAAGTTTTGTCATTGACTGCAGTGGAGCCAAGATTTTCCCAAAAGCCAATAAACCACTTATATAATGGTGTTTATTTATAAAATACATCAATTGTTCCGACTTGGTTAAAATCTCACCTGAAATATAACCTACATTCTACTGAAATTTCAGTCACTAAAGCTCATTTTTAATAGAATCCTTCAATATAGCATCACTGGTAATCTCACTTCAGGGACCCCCCCCCAGAACTCAGCTAGTATGGAGATTTAATCCTTTCAGACAAACAGGTATTGTTTTTCCTGTTCCCAGTTTAGAGCTTCAGTATATTAATGGATGTTCATCAATATCTTTTCAGTATTCAGGAATACTGACTATTTGAAGCAATCCTCCATCAAAGATTGGAAGGCCAGGAGACCTGGGAAAATGCTGCTCTCCCCCCACACTGGACCAAACCATTCAGGATAATTACAGTTTTGCTAGGATTTATTCTCAGCCAGTTCCGAGTTAACGCGACTTGGATCCTGGTGATAATGTTCTTTGGGAGTCAAGAGAGAGATACCGTTGCATACAATGAGAAGTCATATCTCTCCAAAGGCAGCACATAGTTGCTGAAGAGAGTAGGGAGGCTTGGGCTCTTAGTCAGGGGCTAGACTTAGTCAGGGGCTAGACTGTGAGGAACAGGCCAAGAAGAGAATCAGTACTTGATTCATTTCTAATGCTTTCTGTGTTGTGTTGTTACAAAAATGCCAGTGACTTCCATTTAACAAGAAAGTTTCAGGACAATTTCAGTTCCTGCTGTGTATTGACAAACAGTCCTGCCAAGCAAAAGATGAAACATGGATCTTTCATAAACATTTTTAATCCTCTCTTTACCCTAATAAACAACTTCCCAAGTAAATAGCACAAGGGAGTTCCAAAATTTTAGTTTCTAAGGAGGAAATTTTATATCAAAAATATTTACCATACTTAGCCTGCAGGTTGGAAGACATGGGATATAGAAACTATTGTATTACTCCGGAGTGCAGTGAATGTTTGTTACTGCCTCTGCTGTCACTGTAAGTCTCTATGTATGTCTTTATGTGCCACATGGTAAGGAGTTTACTCTACGGTGATTACCTTTGGAGAGGGGAAACCTAGACCACGGACTGGAAGTAACTGTAATAATGATCCTGCTTGGCAGAAAGCCTGAAGCCATGTATTGTATCTCTACAGGCTCCAGTCCTCCACCACAGATGTCATAGTAGTTTGTCAATACAGACAGAGAAGGAAGTACTAGGCTATAAAAAGGGGAGTAAGTCTGAGAAGAGAATGTATAAATAAATATAACATTAAATCAGTTGTACATGGGTGCAGGCCAGTTCTTGGCATCTGGTTGCAAAGTGAGTGAAGATTTACTTATTTTTCCTAGTTATATTTCCCATACAATTATTGCTCACACCAGCAACTGCTTCACTGTATCCTGTAGATCACTAGTTTCCAAACTGTTCAGCCTAAGAGTCAATGATATTATGTTTAAAAGGTCAAGAGGCTACAATCACTACTTTCTGTGCCCCATTCCATTCCTTTGTGCTACTCAAGTGTGCAAAGAGAAGAAAACACCTTCAAGTACCCTGCTGGGGATTAGGGTGACCAGATGTCCCGATTTTATAGGGACAGTCCTGATATTTGGGGCTTTTTTTTTTTTTTATTATGGGCTCCTATTACCCCCCACCCCGTCCCGATTTTTCACACTCACTACCTGGTCACCCTACTGGGGATTCCTCTTGTGTGTGGAGTGTTCAACAGGCACAAAGTCAGTGTAGATGGCGCTCATGTCTTCCTCCCCACAGCTCGAGGTACAACGGCCATGTTGGGTGCAGAGGGAGATATCGAGATATGAAAGAGGAGTGGCTGGAGCATGCTATTATCCCTAGCTGCTGTTTGGTACCTAGATGTGCTGAGATTTCAAGAAGGAACCAAGCAGAGTACTTCTGGGGTTGATGAAATAGTGTCTGCCTGCTACAAATCACTGTTCATCTGTGTCATCAGAACTGCTGATCATTAAGCAGCATATGGTTTGGGTTGTGTCTGTAGAGGGGAAGATGATTAGAGTGCAGAATGGGACATCTGAGTGAGTCTAAGACAAAGTATATAAGCAAACTTTAAAAGGGTAAAAAAGGCAGGGGCAGCAAGAGAGAATCAGGGGAAAACATACAAGATACCAAACTAAACAAGGGAAAAATATGGCAACAGCATCTCCTTTTGCTATGCGTTTCTCTAATTCTTTGCAAAGCCCAGCACCTCTTCACCTCTCGAGTTACTATTTTGCCCTAAGTACATGAATGAAAAGAGCAGCAGGGTCAGTATGGAAGGTAAATATTCAATTGCTAGTGCTGCTAATAGTGCTATTCATTTCAGACATAACATGGTCTATTCTCCTATGGATATGTGAGAAACTTATTTGCTAACGCCAATTAGAACTATTACAATAATTCTCTGTTTAAACCCATTTTCAGTTAAAAAAAGGTTAATCTATATTATGCAATATCAATTTCTATTTATTTTTTTAAATAATCAGTTAATTGAAAAGATGAACCAGTGAGATCACAAAAGTAGAACAAATACTGATAGAGTCAAATATTTGAAGTCATACAATGCAAAGTGAGGACAAAAGATGTTAAAATTAGGCATGAAAATGGGAAAAACTAAACACTGTAGAATAATCCTTCCTCATGTTATTGTGTAAAATATATGCATCCTACACAAGACTGAGGGCCCAATCCTGAAAGGAGAGAGGCACACACTGCAAGATGCTCAACACTTCAGAGAATCAGTACCTTAAAAATTGGAACAAAATGTTCAAACTTGAGCGCATAAAGCTGGGCACCTACATCCGTATTTGGGCACATTAAAATGATCTGATTTTCAGAGCACTTCGCGGCTCCTGCTGGCTTCAATGAATGAAATATGATTGACCAGTATGAGACAAAAGTGT